ATACATACGCAATGAATGTAAGCCTGCTAACTGTGTGTGGTTCAAATGATAGAATATGTAAACTTTGTTTATATATATAATTAAATAATAATAATTAAAAGCCTGCGTGTAAGGCTTTTATTTTGAGGGTGACGTCACGAGCGCAGATTTGGTTAACCAATTAGAGGAAAGTGGGCGTTTCAGCACCGCCTACATGTGTAAAATGAATTTTAAAGTCGTTTATCCGTTTTCCTACCTTAAACCAAAAAACGAAAATCCAGCCAAAATCTCGTTTTTTCGTTTTCTCGTGAGCAAAAGAAAAACGGAAAAACGGCCGTTTTCTCCATTTCCTTTATTCCGTTTGAAAATGGAAAACAAATTAACAAAACGTACACGGACCTAACCGGACCATACACTGACCGTTTTTGTTTTCTGGTGATTTTATTTTTTGCTATTCAAAATAAAAAATCTAATAATTTTTGAATTTTGGTTTTTCGTTTTTCACCACGAAAAAAAAAAAAGAGCCGTTTTTTCATTTTCGTTTTAAAAACGCCAGAAGGTTATGAGTAAGCCCACATAAAATCTGTGCACAGAAATCCGCAGAATTTTAGCCCATCATTGAGTCTATTTATTTACTTGTATAAATGTGTGTACATTTATTTTTTTTTTTTCAGTTTTTTTAATTAATTTCAATAATATTATTAACTAATATCAAAATGTTTATTTAATTTATCTACAATACAGTGTGTAAAGTAATATTTTCTGTCTTTTAGTAGAGATATTATAGAAGAGACTTGCTTTGTTTACCAAACAAGTGGATCTAGACAGATTTGCTTTGTAAAAAGCTTTTAATTAAGATACTGCCAAAATAAAACCACATAAATGCGCAGTTTTTATTTTATTTATTTTTTATACTAAATTCTCAGAAGAAATAGCAAAAAAGGTCAAGATTCTGTTTGGCCCTAGTTATGAGGTAAAATCTGAAAGAAAAGAGAAACCGGTGTGTAAATTGAAAATAATCACTTCATGGACTCAAGCAGTCAGGCAGGAACTAAAAGATAAACTTACGTAAAGTACGCCAGCACCTTTACTGAACAAATTCCAGTTTGTGCATTAAAAAAGGTTGGCTATAAGAGATTCTATGATGATGAAAATGTGTGTGAATGCACAAACCAGCAGGCTGAGCACACTGCAGAACGTCTAAAATGTTGTTTTGGTCATTCTAAAACACCTGAACCATTTCAGTATTCATGTTATTATATTATTAATGATCTCCAGAGCGTCTGGAGTGTGTCAAGAGTGTCTGTTCTCTGCATCTCATGGCTTCAAACGCCACCACATGTTCATTGTCCTCTGAGGGGAAAGTCATTTATTAAATAAGCAAAAGATTCATGTAACTATTTCTACCGTAATAAATTCTGTTTTTACTGTTGATACTTGGAACCAGTTAATCAGGAAGTGACGATTTTGTTCTCTTTGATTTATTGGATGGAAACGCGGATTTATTTGTGTATTTTTCATACAATATTCCAGTTTTGCAAATAAATTTAGTTCTCATTTTTGGATGGAAACACAGCTATTACCAACATTTCAGTCTCACAAAGAACAGTACGTCACGTATGAGAATGGCTTGGCCTTTAATGAATAATTAGCTTAACATTACAGACCTTCGACAGGGACATGTACTGTAACTATGAAAGCCTTCTCACATTCTTCGGTCCATGGAATCGGATTCTTTATGGCTTTAGCCATGTCTTCTAAAGACATTCCTCTCAGACTTCCCTCACATAAATTGGGACCCAACTTCATTGGACCATTTCCCATAATCAAGGTGCTCAGTCTAGTGTTGGTTCAACTCAAATTAAGTCTAAGTTTAAAAACATTCATCCAGTCTTTTTTTTCAGGTGTCTAAGATCAAACCCATGCTTCTCTCCCCACTGCACCCCATAACCTCTGCTCCTCTGCCTCCCAGACTGGTTGAGGGTGCACTCACATACACAGTGCACTGGCCCCTGCATGTGAGGAGGAGAGGTAGAGAGGTTATCAGTATCGGGTAGACTGGAAAGTTTATGGTCCACAGGAAAGATGTTGGATTCCGGCTCTGAATATTCTGGACCGCTCTCTCATTGATCAGTTTCATTAGTTCCATAGTAAGTCTTTAGGGAATGCCAGGGGCCGTTCTTGAGAGAGGGGGTACTGTCACCGTACCTCACGCTTTTGCTCTCTTCTCCTGTTCTGGGTTACAGATTATCTCATGTCATCTGCTTTTATTTGCAGTCACAGGAGCTCTCGTTTCCCTTTTTTCCTGTTTATACCACATCATTCCCTTCATGTTTGTCAGTATGTTATCGATAATTTGTGTGCATATTATTTTGTTACTCACCCTGTATTTTTGTCCAGGACCGCTAGTGAGTGAGTGTCTGGTTGTTTTTTCCCATGAAACTTTATCAGCGCTCACCCGACCGGGTCTTTACTTTGATTTTTGCTTTTTCCGGTTCTTACTCTTTAATAAACCCTTGATGTTTTTCTGCATTTGATTCAGTTTTTTTTTTTTTTTTTGTTTTTTTTACTTATGACACAAGAATTTTCTTTCTCATTTGTGTTTACATGTCTTTAGATTTTGGCATGATGTCTAGCTTTTGAGGCTCTTTTGGTCTACTTCAGACAGGTCCTATTTAGGTAATTTCTTGATTGAGAACGTGTGGTAGTTATCAGGTCTGGGTGTGGCTAGAGAACTTGAACCCGGTGTGATAAATAAAGTTATGTTTAATGGGGAAAAACATTTTCACACAAGTCTGTGTAGTTCAGTGTTTTGTCTTCCTTTTAAGAATAAAATTCTTCATTTAAAAACTGCACAATGCATTTAGTTATGTTATCTTTGTCTAATATTTACATTTGTTTGATGATCTGAAACCGTTAAGTGTTAGTATTCTGCATTGCATTCGTTACATGCAGATTACTAAACCAGAGAACATTTGTCATCTAAAGGTGCAGGTTTAAGGCTTTATGCAGATGTTATGCAGATATGTCTCATGTCTGTGGGGCAAATATTCTCAGAGATTCAGCTGCTTTTTTTTTCTGACAGGTTTACCAGTCAGGCACAGAATGAAAAAGCGTTCCCTATCTGCTTTACAAGTTTTTCAAAAACATGTTGTTTTGTGTGATTACGAATATTGTAAGGTCCGGCCCACTGGTCCAACGGCGGCAGCCAATGGCACGGCAGAAGGGTCTTTGCGCGTCACTATCTTTTCATAAACAGCAGACATTACAATAAAGTAAAATACACCTCTTATGTATTATCTCATAATTTTATCTGACTCCATGTTATATATATTATTTATAATAGGTAATAATAATGATGATTTATAATTTGTTAATTTAGACGGAATTTAGATGAATGTTTGAACCGTTTGTCATCACTAGTAACTATTACATTCGTTCATTCGGGTGCTCATGTCGCTCAGAGAAATCGCCTCGGCCGAAGGCGTCCCTCACGGTCACACTCCGGTCAGTCTCGTATATTAAACAGAGGTAAATTGACTAATACTTTAGATGGCCGCTACCAGTGCGCTCGTTCTAAAATACTTTAATTAGTCCCGCTTAGGTGTACACCTTTGAGTTAGGATAATCACCATTTCTAATTAGAGGTTAGGGCATTAATATAAATGTACCCGACTACTGGACTCTATAGTAACTTTGGTTTTCACCAAGCCCATGGTTTCCCATATGAACTTAATTTAGAATAATATTACCTTCAAACAAAGGTTGGGTACCCAATCTAGGTTAGTCGTGCAACACCTTGTTGACCTAGACGGAAGTTATCGCCCTTTCCACCTAAGTACACATGAATCAATATCAAGAGTCGGCCGGATCGCTAAAACACAATTAGTGTGCCCAATGCTCCATCTCAATTGGATTTTAGTCCGTCTACTGACCTGACGCAAGACGTGCGGAAACAAGGATACAGCGTAATCTACTTGAATTAATAATTACAGAGTGAGCAAAATATGTTCAAACATAACAATTTATTAAACAGGTAAACAAAGGTAATCATTCAAATCCAATTCAAACAACAGACAAAATATAATCTAATCTAAAACAATAAAAATGTCATCAAATTAATCAAATCAAATCTGTAAACATAATGAAAAGAGGTTTTAGAAATGTTTACCTGGAGATGAAAACTACACACAGAAGTTGTGCGGGATATCTGCATACAGATTCCCTGACTTCTCTGCCACCTTCTCTTAAATACCCATTTTTGCACCTCAGGGTGTTCCTTTGATATTTACCATTTCAACATCACTCTATTGATATAGAAGTTTCGTGTTCTTTTGTTTTAGTGGGAAGAGGTCTTGGCCGGGGTTCTCGTGATATTAGCATTTGGTTGTTCCTTTGTTTTGGGTAGAAGGGGGTTTGGGCTGTGATGCTTGATTTACAGTTTTATTACTGGTCCTAAGGCGAGTATTTTAACGTTTAAAGGAGTGAGACCTTCTTTGCCAGACCCACCGGAACCTTCAATGTGTTGACATTTGAATTTCTTAAGACAGAGATGAAAAGAAGAAATGCATGTCAGTAGATAAGTGTCCGTGAGAGGTTTCGTTCCCACACTGAGGGTGGTGGGTGAGAGTTCTTTGATGTTTATCAGGTGTCTGTTCCTGTTAGGGCCTGAATATTTGATCATTTACAAAAGCAGTCTTACAGTAATCATTTCTGATATCAACCTTACAGTAATCATTTCTGATACCAGCCTTACAATATATACAAATAGAAACTGGCCATTTACAGCTTTCAAATTTATGTCTCATCAATATGACCAAAATGCTCTGGGATTAATCATATAAGTATCCGCTTAAATGTGTTTGTGTGTAATGGACACTAGGAGGTTAATATGACAAGATCAATCTAAATATGATCTGCTGTTTTTACATTTAATGTGCATCGAATTAAAGTTTTCACTTCCTTTTCACTGAGAGTTTTAATGATTTACTAAAAGCTGCACTTTTTTTTTATTATTTCAGACCTAGTTAAAGAGTATGAGAGGAGTAAAGAGGAGGAACATCATGTCAAAATTGAAGACAAAACTCATTTAGAGACTGATGATATTTTAAAAATGAGAGACAAGCGTTGTTTTACCTGCAGTCAGTGTGGGAAGAGTTTGGCAAACAAAAGCAAACTAAAGATCCACATGAGGATCCACAATAGGGAGAAACTATTCACATGCACTCAGTGTGGGAAGAATTTCAACCAATCATCAAACCTTAATCAACACATGAGGATCCACACTGGGGAGAAACTATTCACATGCACCCAGTGTGGGAAGAGTTTCAGCAACTCAACAAACCTTAATCAACACATGAGGATTCACACTGGAGAGAAACCATTCACATGTACTCAGTGTGGGAAGAGTTTCAGCCAATCATCAAACCTTAATCATCACATGAGGATCCACACTGGAGAGAAACCATTCACATGCAGTCAGTGTGGGAAGAGTTTCAGCCAATCATCATCCCTTAATCTACACATGATGATCCACACTGGAGAGAAACCATTCACATGTACTCAGTGTGGTAAGAGTTTCAGCCAATCATCAATCCTTAATATACACATGAGGAACCACACTGGAGAGAAACCATTCACATGCCTTCAGTGTGGGAAGAGTTTTAGCCAATCAACATCCCTTAATCAACACATGAGGATCCACACTGGGGAGAAACTATTCACATGCACCCAGTGTGGGAAGAGTTTCAGCAACTCAGCAAACCTTAATCAACACATGAGGATCCACACTGGAGAGAAACCATTCACATGCACTCAGTGTGGGAAGAGTTTCAGCCAATCATCAAACCTTAATATACACATGAGGATTCACACTGGAGAGAAACCATTCACATGCAGTCAGTGTGGGAAGAGTTTCAGCCAATCACCATACCTTAATCATCACATGAGGATCCACACTGGAGAGAAACCATTCACATGCAGTCAGTGTGGGAAGAGTTTCAGCCAATCATCATCCCTTAATCTACACATGAGGATACACACTGGAGAGAAACCATTCACATGTACTCAGTGTGGTAAGAGTTTCAGCCAATCATCAAACCTTAATATACACATGAGGAACCACACTGGAGAGAAACCATTCACATGCCTTCAGTGTGGGAAGAGTTTTAGCCAATCAACATCCCTTAATCGACACATGATGATCCACACTGGAGAGAAAGAGTTTATGTGCTTGAAGTGTGAGAATACTTTTATTACAGCTGCAGAATTGAAACGCCACCAGAGGGTTCACACTGGAGAAAAACCGTACAAGTGTTCACAGTGCAGTAAGAAGTTTGCTCGCTCAGGAACCCTGAAAACACATGAGAGGATTCACACTGGAGAGAAACTGTAGACATGATCAGTGTGTACAAAGTTTCACTTAATCAGGGGAGCTTAAGAAACACATGGGATGGTTTTTGGTAAGGCGCCGACACATGTAGCAGCTTAGAAAGAGCGCTTCCATACACACTGGTATTAATCCTCCTTTTTACATCATATATAATAACCTAAACCATATTTAAATGACATGGAGGAGGGACAAAAACAAAAAGGCTAGGACAAAACAACCAGTAAATCCTGAAAAAAATGAGAAATCAACAGATGAAAAATCCAAGACGGACGGGATAGCTGATAGCCTGTCACCTATCATTGCAGCAATATTTACAGACATCAAAGCTTTCCAGAAGAATATTAAATCTGATTTAACCGCCTTCCAAGATTCTCTCGCAAAAGATGTGAAAATGGAATTAAGTAACTGTAAACAAGAAGTCAATCAACAACTGGATGACCTTATCACGGACCTAAATGCAACGACAGAAAAGGTCAACGAAGTGGAGAAGTGAGTTGGAGAATTTTGGAGGAGAACATTGCTGAGATGAAAGAAATGCTCAATCAATCCATTCAAATACAAGAAAATTTAAAAGGGAAACTGTGAGATCTAGAAACACACTCCCGTAGAAATAATAATCAGATTTTTGGAATCCCGGAAGGAAGCATTCTGAATGAAAAGGGAATTAAGTTCTAAACACCACCGCCGGCAAAACTTAAAATCTTTTTGGAAAACGGGCCGATTATGTACAATTCAATGACGGAGGCATCAAGAGATCTGAAAGAAAAAGGACTGATAAACAGCGAATAAGAAACTATTATAGGAATCCCTGGGAAAGAGAAACAAAGACCTTGGCAAAAGGTTGGAGTGACATGGAAGAAAAGTAAGGAAAAACATCAAGCGAAGATCCGGGAAAAACTATGTGAATTTCAAAGGGACAACACTAGCTTTGTTTGAAAGGGTAAAACCTGACAGATCCTAACAAAAAACTCTAAGAGACTGGTAAATTTCGTTTTGACTTTTTATTTTAATTTTTTTTATAATGTATTTATTAATTTTTAAACAAAACAGATACAACAACAAACAAGTGAACAGAACCTGGGATGAAAGAAAAGAAAGAAAAAGGGGGGGGGGGGGGGGGGGCATTAATTAAAGTAGCGATATTGCATCCTTGTTAAATCAATCCTCTGATGATTATGGAGGTTATGTTTAAACCCATATGTAACAAAAATGGATCCCACCTCTCATGAAATAAAACATTTTTGCCATGTAGGACACAAGTTAAGTAGTCCAGTGGTACATATTCAAGTATTACCCTGTGCCATAAAGACTTTGTAGGAGTTTTGTCCATTATCCAGTTCAGGAGAATACATTTTCTTGCACAAAATGTCAGGAACTTGCAAAGTGTTTTTTTATGCTTGTCCATATTAATCTCGTCGAATATCCCAAGCAGCACATGCTTGGGGTCACAACCAATATTAAAAGATAAAATTCCACTAATTTCTTGTTCAATCATGTCCCAGAACTTTTGAATTTCCCTGCAAAGCCAGAAACAATGAACCAGGTCTCCTTCCTTGGTTTTACATTTCAGACACATTGGTGACAACTCCTCTTTAAACTTGTGCCTCCGTGAGGGAGAGATGTGAGCTCGATGTAGAATTTTCAGTTGCATTGCTTTTACTCTGTTACATACACTTAGGGACATTGCATTTTTCCAAGCTTCCTTCCATTGATCATCTGTGATTTGTGTATCAAGGGTCCTTTCCCAAGTCTCTTTCAAGAAGCCCGTATTTAAAGAGCCACAATCCTTCAGAACTTTGTAGAAACAGCTTGTGGAATTGTCCCTGTATGAAAAAAGTTGTCTTTCCACAACTGAAATGTCCTGATTTTCGAGTACTGTAGTGTCTTTTTTCACAAAGTCTCTTAGTTGCAAGTAGCGGTAAAAATCTTGTCGCGGAATATTATATTTATTGGTCAGTTGGTCAAAAGACATTAAAATATTTCCATCAAACAAGTCATGTAATGTGGTGAGACCTTTTTGTGACCAGACTTTAAATTGTGGGTCTTCAGTTCCTGGCAGAAAGTCAAAATTATCACAGATGGGGTAAAGGTTGAGGTGAGTCGAGATCTCCCTTCCAAACGTTTTATAGATTGCCATGCTTTGATAGTACAAACCGTGATGGGATTATTGCAGGCCATTTTCACTGATTTACGTTTTTAAAAAAAAGCAAATTTCTGAGAGGGATTTTACAGAGTGAACTTTCAATGTCAAACCAAACTGCACTGGGTCCTTTATGTATCCAGTCAGAAATAAAGTGCAAATGTGCGCTTAATTGGTATTTTCGAATGTCTGGAAGGTCAAGACCAACTGCCGAGGATGAAAGCATTAAAGTTGAAATTTTTATACATGCTCTTTTGTTTGCCCAAATAAAAGAATTAAACCAGCCATTCAGTTTCCTAATGATTTTGTGTGTAAAATTGATCTGAATCATTTAAATGGGGTAGAGTATTCGCGGTAGTATATTCATCTTCAGAAGGGAGATCCGACCCATCCAAGAAATAGGGAGAATGTTCCATCTTTCTAGGTCCATTCGAATGCCTGTCAAACCTGTCAATCGTGTCTAAGAGATTTGGGGTAGAGGTTTCAGGATTTACCATGAATATAAGAATGTCGTCGGCATATAGAGCAATCTTGTGTGGTTTGTTTGCTACCATAAAACCATTAATTTTATTATTTTCCCGTACTGCTTCTGCTAATGGCTCTATTATTAAGGCAAACAGAAGGGGTGAGAGAGGGCAACCTTGCCTTGTTCCTTTCTCAATTTTGAACATAGAGGATCTACAGCCATTAGTAAGTACAGCACTAAAAGGCTAATTATACAAAGACCAAATCTATGTAACGTATGGAATAAAAAGGGCCATTCGATGCGATCAAACGCCTTTTCCGCATCTAATGAGATCACAAGACCTACTGATTGTTGTTTAGCAAATTGAATCACATTCAAAAGACATCGCATGTTATTTACCGAGTTACGGCCTACAATAAAGCCGGTTTGGTCATCCTTTACTAATATAGGAAGAAAGCCTTTAAGGCGGGTGGCCAAAATTTTTGAAAGGATCTTCAGATCTACATTTAGCAGTGATATGGGGCGATATGACGAACAGTACTTTGGTTGTTTTCCTTTTTTCAAAATTAAGGATATATTTGCCTCTCTCAGTGACTGTGGTAGGCGGCCTTTTCTAAAAGAGTAATTAAACATATTTAATAATGGATCCACTAATAAGTCTTTGAATTCCTTATAGAATTCACAACTAAGTCCATCTGGGCTAGGTGCTTTCCCAGATTGTAAACTCTTTATTGCTGCTAGAACCTCATTTTTAGATATAGGGGCATTAAGGGGTAATAACTGATCTTCAGATAACGTGGGGAGATTAAGTGTCGAGAAGAAAAGCTCTGTGGTTTGTGTTGTGTCCCCATTTAGTTCTGATTTGTAGAAATTCTCAAAATAATCTTTAAATGTATTATTAATGAATATGCTGTCCATAGAGTGTTTACCGTTACTGTCTATAATAGATTGTATAGATTGAGAGTCGGATTTTTTCTTTGTTAGGTGTGCTAAATATTTCCTAGCTTTATCCCCATGTTCATACATTTTCTGCTTAGCAAAGTGAATTTTCACTTCTGCCTGTTTTGTTAAAAGAGAGTCTAACGCAGACCTTAGCGCCATAATTTCCTTTAGTTTAACAGGGCTTGGTTTATTAATGTATGTTCTCTCAGCATCCCTAAGCTTAGACTCTAAAATCTCTTTTTGTTCCGCTTGTTTACACCTTTTACTATGTGTGTACTCTATTATAATGCCTCTAGAAAATGCTTTGGTTATTTCCCATAATAAGGATGAATCTTCAGTTGAGACCGAATTGATGGACATAAAAGTGTTGAATTCCTCTGTAAAATATGTAACAAAGTTATGATCAGCTAATATAAATGGATGAAATCACCAACCACTGGCTTTATTATTTTGATTTCCAAAGGAAAATTCAGTGAAAACTGCCGCGTGGTCAGATATTATTATATCTCCGATTTTGCAAGATGTTATGTGCTCCAACATATTTTTGGGAGAGAATAGATAGTCTATTCTCGTGTGACAACTATGAACTTTTGAAAAATAAGTGTACTCTCTCTCTGCAAGGTGGCAAGCCCTCCAAATATCTACATAATCAAAGTCTTCACACAGAGCCTTAAGTGTTTTAGCCTGTACTGATAGTAACGGTTTCCCTGCAGGGAATTTATCAATAATAGGACATAAATGGCAGTTAAAGTCACCCCCAATAAATAATGTTTTAACTCCCCAGTCTGCTAATTTGGCAAAGGCTTCAGTAAGAAAATTATTTGGGTGACCAGGAGGCCAATAAATATTCATGAAGGCAATTTCTTCCCCATGTAAAAGCCCTTTTAAAAGTACATAGCGCCCTCTAGTGTCTTTAATAACTTCCACCGATTGAAGTGGCACACCTTTTTTAATTCAAATAACTACACCCCTACTCCTTGAAGTAAAAGAGTAAAAATGGGCTTGGGCATAAACACCCCTGCGAAAGCTTAGTATGTTCTTGGTCATTTAAGTGGGTCTCTTAAAGTAATGCAACGTCCACCCCCTCCTTTTTTAGATAAGTCAGGACCTTTCTTTTCTTAATAGGTGTGTGAATTCCATTAACATTCCAAGTACAGACCTTCATTTTTACCATTTTAAGTATAAATTAAACATAATGTGACCCCCATTTATATAGATAAGGTTGCATGAATAGCGTACGAAAAGAAAGGAAAAAATAAAATAAAAAAGAAGGGAAAAAAAAACGAAAATGAAAAAAAATGGGGAGATAAAAAAGGGATTCATCCAAGTATACAACAAACACAAAACTGGAACAATAGAACAGTCATTAAACATCAAAATATTTCACACCATCT